TACGGTGGGGAAGATGATGCATGAAGAGTATGCAGTAGGTGGACCTTCGAAGGGATGCACAAAGGAGTGAAACTCAGACAGCCTCATGCTGGAGAGGAAGGTCCGGAAAGGCTTGCCACAGGAAGTAACACCTAAGCGGGTTCTTACAGGTAGGAAGAGTTCTGGGACAGCCTTGGCATCATAAATCTACTCTGGTCCATCTCTCCCACCCATTACAACTAAAAGCTCATGACAAAACACAGCAGCAATGGCCTGAGGATTCCGAAAAGTAAAAGACTGCGAATGGGAGGCAAAACTTGAAAAAGAAACCTGCAAGGGGGATGGGTTGCCTGGCCGCCTTTCCTTTCTCTTGTGATTTTGTCCTGAGGGGAGGCCCCAGTTGGGAACTGCTCGGCTGCAAGAGTAGCTAAAACTCTGATAGAAACCCTGTCCTTCATCCAGGGAAGCTGAGGGAAGGTCCCAGGAACTGAGAAAAGGTTCCTCTGTGAGTTGGAAAGCGAGGAGGGAGAGGACAGAGCCACAGAAGGTGATTCCGAATTTTGTGTAGGAACCACTTTAAGTTGTAGGTTTGCTCACTGCTGAGTTGCACTTGTTTTCAGCTAAAGCAGCAAAGCAAAGGCTTTGACAACTAAAAGTCAAACCCCAGGCCAAATCTCAGACTAGCCCCTGAGTGGTACATGTTCAGGACAGACCCAGAGCAACGGAGCAGAGGCTTTGAAAACTGAACTGAGAAAGAAACTCTCACCCACGGAAGGTGACATAAAACTTGTAATGTGAATGAACTCCACCAGGTTGAAAGCCTGCTTAAGCAAACATACACTCTCCAGAGGGGGATTTTAACAGGATCCAGCGTCAGCACAATGTTAACTGTCACAATGTGCAGGATGTGATAGAAAACAACCTGTGCAATAATTAATGGAAGGAAACGTTGTTTAAAATGGAGTCAAGGACAGTCGGTTAAGTGTCCGACTTCGACTCAGGTCATGATCTCATAGTTGGTGAGTTCGAGCCCCACATCAGGCTCTGTGCTGACCCCCTCAGAGCCTGGAGCCTGCTTCGGACTCATCTTCTCCCTCTCTCTCTGCCCCGCCCGAGCTTGTGCTCTCACGTACTCTCTCTCTCTCTCTCTCTCTCAATAATTAATACGTAAACTTAAATAAATAAAATAAAACAGAATAAAATGGAGTCAAAAGGCCAGCAGGGGGAGCTCTCTCACCCCACCACTCACAGTCAATTCCAGCTCCAACAGCAGGAGACGTACCTGGCTGTTTGGCAAGTTGGGTATTACTTCTAAATACTACTTGACTATCCTAGGAAGAAGGGAGAGAGGTTTTCCTCCTCCTCTGGCAACAGTCCAGACAATGAGAGACTGTCGCAAGTCAGCCAATGAGAGTCCACCACACTGTGAATTCTCAACTTATTCCAATGGATGTTTTGTTTATAAGAATTCTCCCAACTTCCCTCTTCCCTCTATAAAAGAGTGTTCCTCTCCTTTGTTCTCTGGACTTGCCAATGGTTTTGCGTAGCTTCCTGTCCCAGACTGCAATTCTTTGCTATTCACAAATAAATCCTTTTTTTTTTTTCCCCCGGTAAAATAAATGGCTGTTTTAGTTTTAAGGTTAGCCCTTGTCATACAAAGAACCAGGAAGCTGTGGCCAAATCCTTCGGGAAAAGACAATCACCATAACAACCCCGAGATAACACAGGTGTTGGAATTTTCAGACAAAGACTCTAAAAGGGAGTTTCAGGAGGTAAAGACAAACACACGTGACATAAATGTAAAGGCACATTTTCAACAGAGAAACAAAGTATAAAAAAGAACGGAGTGGAAATTTTGAACTGAAAAGTACAGTATCTGAAAGAAACAAATTCATTAGATAGGTATAATACATACCAAAATGGAGATGATGGAAGAAAGCAGCAGGAACTTGAAGATAGATGAGTCAATAGGAATGATCTAAACTGAAAAGCAGAAAGGGCAAAAAAAGGGTGGAAAACAGAACATAGAAGCACCAGAGACCTGCGCAACAACATCAAAAGGTCTAACATACAAGTCATTTGAGTTCCAGAAAGACACGTGAAGGAGATTGAGAAAAATTATGTGAAAAAGTAATGGCTGGAAACTTCCCAAATTTGGCAGAGGGCATATCTACAGATTCCAGAAGATTGCTGGACCCCGGCACTTAAATTCAAAGAAAATCATGCCTAGATCTTTCAAAATCAAACTACCGAAAGGCAGTGATAAAGAAAAAATCTTGAAAGCAGCCAGAGAGAAATGAAACCCTACATAAAGAGCAAAGATCAAATGACTGCAGAGTCCAGGATAACGAGAAGATGCTGGAACAATGCCTCTAGGTGTGGAAAGTAAAGTACAACAAAGCCTATATCCAGTGAGAATATTTTCAGTAATGAAGGTGAAATAAGGACATTCTTAGATAAAGGAAAACTTAAAAAGCCATTGTCAGCAGACCTGCCCTAAAAAAAAAAAAAAAAATGCTAAGGATGAAGGTAAAGGATACCAGAAGGAAACCTGGATTTTAGGAACTGAGGGATGAGCAGCAGCAAATTTAACTATCTAGGTTAATATAAAAATCCTTATTTTTTTATCTTAAACTTTTTTTAAAGCAGGCTTCATGCCCAGCGTGGAGCCCAATGCAGGGCTGAAACTCACGACCCTGAGATTGAGAACTGAGCTGATATTAGGAGTCAGATACTTAACCGACTGAGCCACCCAGGTACCTCTCTCTTAAATTCTTTAAAATATGTATGATTATTGAGAAGATAGGCAGGAATAAGGCTCTTAGTTATGGGAGACTAAGGTACTGTAACAAAAATCCAGTTATTTAAGAAACAGGTTTTTTCTCTCCTAAAAAAGGAGGCATTATTTCTGGCATTTCTGCTCACATTCTATTGGCATCCTTTTAATTTATTTTTTTATTTTTTTAATGTTTATTTATTTTTGAGAGGGAAAGAGAGAGAGAGAGAGAGACAGAGCACGAGCAGGGGAGGGACACAGAGAGACGGAGGCACAGAATCTGAAGCAGGCTCCGGGCTCATAACTGTCAGCACAGAGCCCGACACGGGGCTTGAACCCACGAGTGGTGAGATCGTGATCTGAGCCGAAGTCTGGCGCTTAACCGACTGAGCCACCCAGGTGCCCCTAACTGGCATCCTTAACTGCAAATTCAGCTGGGAGATACAGTGGAGCTGGGGCAGTCATGCCCTGGGTTATAGCTTCGTTACTTAGGAAGAAGGGGCAAATGGATTTTGATGCATAGCTAGCAGCCTCTCCCACAGCGGGTGAAAGAGAAAGGAGGCATTTTGGACAAGAGGGGACAATATGATCAAAGGTATGGAATAGAGAAACAGTAAAGAGCTAATACCAATTTTGATGTTGTTTGGAATGTAAATAATGAGATGAAGCTAGAGAGGTGGGTTGCAGTAGAGGAAGCTGGATTTTATTCTTGAAGACTTCAAAGGTTTTACGTAGCAGACTTTCATTTCAGTGAGCTACTCAGGGGTTAAAGATGGGAGAGCAGAAGACTAGAGGAGAGAAATGTAATTAGCAACTTAGGGGAATAGTTTTGGTGAGAGCTGATAAAGTTTCAAAAGTAGGCTGTGATCATAGCATAGAGGCCTGGTTTTAGAAATATCTGTGGAAGTAAAATTGGCAAGACTTGGGGATAAACTGAGGAGAAAGGAAGAAGTGAGGCAGGATCTCACATGCCTTACAAAGATGGCCGGGTGGCTGGTGGTATCAGCATGGAGTATCCCTGAGCAGGAGCAGATTGATTTAGGAAAAAGAGGAGTTCGGTTTTAGGTGATAAACATAAAATATTGTGAAGCTTGAATTCCCGCAGAATATTGATTATATTAAATCTCAGTGAGAGAGCTGCAGTGTGTAGCTGAAGACCAAACTCTGGCTGGCATACAGAATCCTCTGTAATTTGCACCTAATTGAACCCTCTGATCATCCTCTATTCTGTTTAACACCGTATGCCTTTTGCTTCAGCCACATCAAACTCTTCTCAGAGGCCTTCCTGGACTCTGAAATCTAAAAGAGCATCTCTTAAATCACAGCACCTGTACTTTCCGAGGTAAACTGGGAAGGGCTTAATGTCCAAATGGATGGGGCTGGAGAGATGGGTTGCAAGGGAAATGATGAGGAGACTCAGGTTTGTAGTCTGGGAGCCCAAGTGGGTAAAAGTAATCAGGTGCAAAAGAACATTTCTGATAGACAATAAAGAACAATAGTTACATGTTCTGAGGCTGTGGTCTGATCAAAGGGCAAAAGGAATCAAAAAGCTGGAATCGGATAAAGAAGACAAGGCCTTTCCTCCTCGCCCAGAGGCATACCTTTACTGAGGGATCCTGAAAACCCAGCTCCTGCTCCACTTTTTTTTTTATTTTTAAAATTTATTTTTGAGAGACAGAGAGCATGAATGGGGGAGGAGCAGAGAGAGAGGGAGACACAGAATCTGAAGCAGGCTCCAGGCTCTGAGCTGTCAGCACAGAGCCTGACGCGGGGCTCGAACCCACGGACCACGAGATCATGACCTGAGCTGAAGTCAGACGCCTAACCGACTTAGCCACCCAGGGGTCCCTCCACTTTCTTACAATAACGGTATTCGCAGGGACTGAACCAGAGTGTACTTGAAACCTCGACTTTGGGTCCAGATTTCTCTGGAGCTACTGTTACACTGTGTATGTACAGCCCCTGATTCGCTGACTGACCTTGGGCAAGTTGCTACTCATTCTCTATGACTTAACCCTCCTTTCCATAAAACGAGGATAACGTGGAATTTGGAGTGTTGTTATGAGCGTTAATTGAGATGATGCCCATGAACGCTTTACATGAGGTTCAACAAACGCTGTGGAGTGACAGATGGACGACATAGTTCAAACGAACGAGGGCAGCAATTCTAGGAAGCTGTCTAAGGCACAGACCTCCGGGCTTCCTTTGCCCAGCGAGGACCTGGGGAGCGGTCGCGAAGCCATACCTTGCAAACCTTGGCCCGCATTTCCTCGTGACAGTGTGGCCGCGTCCTTCCTCACGACCCGTCGGGCCCCAGGCTGCAGCTTCAGCTGGCTCCGCCACGTGGCGCCCTCTCGCTGGGCCTCTGTGGGCTCAACGGTGTGTGATGCCCGGGCCCTCGCGCGGAGCCTGGTCTCCCAGGCAACCGCATAAACTTCCGGTTTGAGGCCGGCCGAGGTTGGCGAGAGGCCACATTTCCGCCACGTGATCCCCCCCCCCCGGCACCTTGCAGGCTGAAGGGCGCGCGTCCGGGGCCTGCAACACGCGGCGTGTTCCGAAGTTAGACATCCCGGCCCTGACGGGGGGCAGGTCCTGGGGAGGTGGCGCCAGCGGGGACAGCCGGGCCTGGAGGGGCGGGGCCGGACTCAGCTCCCAGTTCCCGCGGCTGGGCTGAGAAGCCGGGCGGCAGCAGGACCGCCTCTCCAGGGCCGCCGCGCTGGAGCTGGAGCTGGAACTCCGTGGGGCCGGGGCCCCGGCTGCCGGGCAGCGGCTCCTCCAGTCCGACGCCGCGGCGGAGCATGAGGCGGTGGCGGGTTCCCGGCGGAGCCGCCGGCCGGGAAGCATGCTGCGCTGGTTCATCACCGTGATCCTGTGTGCCGCCTTCCTGGGTCTGGTGAGAGCCGGGGCTGGAATCCTCCCGGGCCAGGGCGTGAGCAGGCGTCCTGCGGAGAGCGCGGTCTTCCGAGTTCGAGTCTCGCCTCTGCCTCTTGCAAACTGCGACCTTGGGCGCCTTCATCTGCTCCCAGTCTTAGTTTCCTAATCCGGAAGACGGGCACAGTTCTATTCTTGGAGGGTTATTGTCAAGTGCGAAATTGATTTTCCCAGTATATTTCCCAGCTCCAGGAAACCGCCCTACCTCTCCCTAAGTGGGGTGGGGAGCTGCGAGGGGGGTTGCCAGGTTTATAGCCCCTCCCCCTCGGCCCACGCAGACCCCGTATTATTACACAAAGCTGCTTTTCTGGCATTTCCTCTTCCTCGTCTGACAAAATAGAGCTGGCTCTTTATCTTTGCAGATGGGGAAAGAGAACCAGAGAGGGAGAATGCCTTTTCCAGATCACACAGCTGGCTTTAAGTGGTAGAGCCAGTAATAACATGTCACTTACTCTGCCCACACTCCTATGTAAAACCCGTAGATCCTTCGGTGTTTTTCTTAGAGTAAACTGCAAGGTGAGAAGCGCCTTTTGACCAACCCCTTGACCTCCCGGCCATTCCCTTATTTCTGGACAGCTCCCTCTCCTCACTTGTTTGGAATATTGGGATCTGGGGGGGGGTTGTTAGGGTGAGTCCTCTGACGACAGTCACTTCAGGTTACGTGGCGGCTTTCTCTTGAGCCACGACGGATTCTTAGAATGTTTCTATGTGAAAAAAAGAAAAATCATTGCGGCCGCTTGGTGAGTGCTCACCTTGTGCCAGGTCCTGTTTTAAGTGCTTTGCAGACAGGAAGTCATTTGATTGGAGATTAAATTTGATTGGGTGCTCACTCTGCCCTTAGTCTGCCTTGGGTAGGAGGCACACCCAGTGTTTAGAGCCGAGCATTCCAAATAGAATCAACTATTCTTAAAGCCTAGTTCCATTAGAAACATTTTTTTTTAAGTGTCCAGCAAATATCCTCTGATGGCTTGGGGTTTTATTTGAGGAAAAATGTAGATTCAGAATCATTTAAAGTGCTTATCTCCTGCGTACTTTGTATACGTCAGAGGAAGGACCCCATGTGCATCCAGAAATACTGCTCTGTTTTAACATCAAAAAACAGGAATAATATTTTAATGGGTTGATAATCAATTTTAACATCTAAATTCTTATTTTTTCCAAATAATCTAGTATATTAAAATGCCAAAACTAAAAATATTTTAATGTTACATTTTACTGCCAGTACAAAAGAGTCTTTTATGGTATTGTTTGAAAAGGAAACAAAATTGCAGCAACGAGCCAAAAAAAATTTTTTTTTAAAACTTGAGAGTTGTCAAAACCAAACCAGTAGGATTTGACACACCAGATACAGAAGTCTAAAGCTCTAAGATACTAGTACTGTCATCCTGAATTTTTCCTGACTGTAAGACTTAAAGTAATCCCCTACATTATGCCGAAATCCCCTCCTCCCTTTTTAACAGGGAAGAAGGCTACCACATAGATATTTTAAGGATTGTAAATAAGAGACTTTGTCTTTTTACATTTTAGGGAATGAGTGTTGCTATACTGGGGCCCACGTTTCAAGATTTGGCAACAAATGTGAACCGCAATATTAGCAGTCTTTCTCTGATTTTTGTGGGCCGTGCCTTCGGATATTTGAGTGGCTCTGTGATTGGTGGAGTTCTTCTTGACAATATGAATCATTTTCTACTCTTGGGTAAGTAAAACCCCAATTGTAGCTTTTTGCGAATTACACGGAATTTACAATTTGTTTTAGACTATGAAATATACTTGCTTGCGGAGTGGTTGACCAATGTGTAGTGTTCCTGCATCCTCAGGGGAGGTCAGGGTTCCTTGGCGCCTGTTTTCGGCTTGGCAGTTACAGAGAATCTGTGCTGGGCCGGCTGTGGAAATTTAGATCAGCCCTAAAGTGTGCTACCCGTCTTTAGCCTTCCTGACCATTACTGTAACTTAGGCACCGCCCCTGGATCCACTAACCAACATACCAGTTGTCCAAAGATCTTTCCTTGTCAGGGCTTAGGGCTGATCTCCTAGGGCCACTGTAGATCAGAATGAATTCCTTGACCCTGCCCAGGCTAGACCCTGGACTGAGCATGAAGGTGGGAGGGAATGGTGGGTGAAATGATGTAGGCTAAAGTTTTGTCCCTGTTGCCCCATGTTAATGACCCCAGACCTCTCTACCTCACCCACAGACTAGATGGCTGGCTTTTAACTTACTCTGTTTTGAATAAATAGATATATTTAAAGTTTCTTTTTTGAGAGAGAGAGAGAACCTGTCTTTCTCTAGAGAGAGAAAGAGCATGAGTGGGGGAAGGGCAGAGAGAGAGGATCCCAAGGAGACTATGCGTTGTCAGCACAAGCCCAAGGCAGGGCTCGAACCCACATACTGCGAGATCATGACCTAAACCAAAATCAAGAGTCGAATGGTTATCTGACTGAGCCACCCAGGCGCCCTTGAATAAATAGATACGTGTAAAAGAAAATCTGGGTAGGGGCATCTGGGTGGCTCAGTCAGTTGGGCGTCTGACTTCAGCTCAGGTCATGATCTCATGTTTTGTGGGTTCAAGCCCCACGTTGATCTCTGTGCTGATAGCTCAGAACCTGGAGCCTGCTTTGGATTCTGTGTCTTCCTCTCTCTCTGCCCCTCCCCTGCTCACGTTCTGTCTCTCTCTTTCAAAAATAAATAAAATATTTTTAAAAATCTGTAGTAAGGTGATAAAACTGCTTTGAAAATAAGGAGAATAATTTACTGTTATTGATGAATAACAGATTTCCAAAGTGGGTTGAGAACACATATCTGTCTGGTATTTCCCTCCCTATTCCCAGCCTAATTATTTAATACATTTCTACAACAAACTATAGTAATTGCATTTTATTTTTCTCTTTTTAATTTCTTACCTTTTATCTAAAAACCCTTTTAGGTTATTAAATATGAAATACTTAAATAATTTTTGAGCTGTCTGTTTTGCTATAAACTTTGCCTTGTGGTATCTAATTTGATTATTAGCATTGCTAGGAATGTACTCATGTTAGGGTAACTTAGATTTTATAGTCCATAAAGATTATGAAAGCTTATAGAGGAAATAACCATTTGTAGATGCTGAACATCTCATCCACGTCTATTATTCAATTGTAATTTCACTTCTATTTATGGAAGTTTTTATGATGTTGACTTGATTCATGAGTATTGTTTTTTATGGCTGCCCTTTACTTTTCTTCTCAGGAGTGTCAATGTTGGCCACCACAGTTGGTCTTTATCTTGTTCCATTTTGTAAGACAGCAACATTACTGATTGTCATGATGTCCATCTTTGGTGTTTCGATTGGCATTCTGGATACAGGTCAGTGAGCCCTTCAGTGTCGTCTCTGGGAGTGGGGACTTCATATTAGAAAAAGTAGAACAGATGACCTCAAATGGTCATTTGCAGGGTAAAATGGCACCAGCCTACTGAATTGCTCATGGGGTCACCCAGTCAGAACCACCCTTTTGGCAACTACTCTTCTTGCCAAGTAGGGTGACTGCTTTTGAGCAGCCAACCATGTAGTTAATTTCACGAACTTTGTTCAGCGAGAGATTATTGCTCTATGGTATCCAGACAGGAAAGGGTCTGCCTTGCAGGTAGCTGTGGTGCAGGTGAGGGAGCTTTCATTTTGGGAGAGAACTTTGTCGGTGCAGTATGGGAAGAATTGATGGATTCCTAGGTTGAACCAACTGCGGAACCATTATTTGGCCGAGGAATCCTAGAAAGCAGTTATCCGGTTGTAAAAAGCCCTCTGCCTTTCTGAGAAACCTGTCCTCTGTAGTATTTTCCTTCTCTTCCCCCCCAAAAGCTCCTGCCTCCTTGCAGGAGAGCCTCTCCATGGGTCTTGGTGTCTTTTAAAACCGGCTGAGTAACATACATGGGATTTTTGCCCACCCCTCAAAGCAACTCTTCCCCTGCTCTACGGTTACTTGATACATCAGGGATGTTTCATGCTTTAGGCTTGGTTTGGTTGTGAAATTACAGGGTACAATTGTAGGTTCATCTGAAAATATGTTATAAAAAAAAAGAGAGAGAGAGAAACAAAGAAAACCCAAGACTTGATTTTTTTGCCTTTCACCTTGTAGAGAAGGCATCGTGTCCTGGGCACAGGAGAACTCCGTAGTGTTCAGGTTTCTGAGTATGTGTTGTGCATCCGTTATATATATGAATCGTTTCCCTCAACTGGCTATTTGGTAATTTGGCCACTATCTGATGATAATATGTACTTAAAATGTTTGCAAATAAATACATATCCCCCCTTGCCCTGCCAGCCTGGTATTTGAACTGTGTTGTAAATAGCCTCCGGCTCCTGTCCCCGCCTCTAGGGAGCGAGTAAGCTCCTGTCCCCAGGAGACAGCAGTTTACTAGCTTGAGGAACCCATTTGTGAGTATGTGATGTTACACTGTTGCCAGTTCTCTGCTGGTGGGAGGTTAGAGTGCCTTACAGAATTGACCGAGTTGTAACATCTGCTGATTTAGAATGTTATAATCCCTGCGCACCATAAAATAGGCTCTTCCTCTCTCTCATAGTGATGAACTGGTTTTTGCGACGTTTCTGTGATCAAATCCTTTTCCTCATCTTTCGTTGGTAGGTGGTAACGTCCTAATCTTGGCTCTTTGGGGGGACAGAGGAGCCCCACATATGCAGGCCCTGCACTTCAGTTTTGCCTTGGGCGCCTTCTTGGCTCCACTGCTGGCTAAACTGGCATTGGGCACGACGGTGTCTGGTGACAGTCACCCAGAAGCTGATGACCACGGCTCTCTCAACCAGTCATCTGAGGCCGACACAGAACCTCTGCTCGGAATACCCGACAACCTGAATTTACTGTGGGCTTACGCCCTGATTGGTACTTACATTTTTGTAGTTTCTGTCTTTTTCTTGGCTCTGTTTTTAAAGAAAAGCTCAAGGCAGGAAAAAGCAAAAGCGTCTGCTCAGAGGTCTCGAAGAGCCAAATACCACAACGCCCTTCTTTGTCTGCTTTTTCTGTTCTTCTTCTTTTATGTGGGGGCCGAGGTGACGTACGGCTCTTACGTTTTCTCGTTTGCGACCACCCATGCCGGCATGAAGGAGAGTGAAGCGGCTGGCTTGAACTCCATCTTCTGGGGGACCTTTGCTGCCTGCAGGGGCCTGGCCATCTTCTTTGCCACATGTTTACAACCTGGAACCATGATCGTGTTAAGCAACATCGGCAGCCTGGGGTCATCTTTATTGCTGGTGCTTTTCGACAAGAGTCCAGTTTGTCTCTGGATAGCAACGTCCGTGTACGGGGCGTCAATGGCCACCACGTTTCCCAGCGGTGTCTCTTGGATTGAGCAGTACACGACCATCCATGGGAAATCTGCAGCTTTTTTTGTAGTTGGTGCCGCCCTGGGAGAAATGGCTATTCCTGCAGTAATTGGAATTCTTCAGGGAGCATACCCTGATTTGCCTTTGGTCTTGTACACCTCTTTGGGGGCATCGATAGCCACTGCTGTTTTATTTCCTGTGCTCTATATGTTAGCCACATCACCTCTCCGTCAACAGCGGAAAGACCACAGAAAAAGCGAGGACCAGAAAGCTTTGCTTTCTAGCTCTGAGCTAAATGACTACGAGGAAGAGAATGACGAAGAAGATGCAGAAAAGTGGAATGAAATGGATTTTGAAGTGATCGAAATGAATGATACAATGAGGAATTCCGTAATAGAGACATCTAGAAATATTTTGACGGAGCCCTTAGCTGAAGTCTCCAGTCACTCACACGCCAGTGCAGTTTCATTGGAGTCCTCTCCAGTTAACACCGGCAGGTCCCCTGTGAATCACCTCGCAAAGAACCAGGCTAAAAGGGACTAATACCTAGAGACGATGGATTATTTACTGACCTCCTTGAATAATCTGTGGCTTTAATGAAGCCAGTCAGAGCAGAGCATTAACAGATTTTCATCATGCTTTGGGGAATCAAAATGTCTAGGTCAGAGTATGTATAGTAAATGCTAAAAAGTTTTGGCAGGTTCTGTAATTCCCAGAGTTTTCCATAAAGAACAAATGGTGTCATACAGCAGGATCTCGTTGTGAGGCTAGTGTTTGGCACGTGGCTGCTTCAGTAATGTTTTACGGTCTCCATCCCTCAGAGCGTGCAAAGGAGTGGTCGGTGAGAATTTGGGTGCCGTTCTAAAAGAGTGTGAAACCATCTAGCAGTTAAATCAATGAGCCGAACACATGATGAATCCTCCGTATTCTGCCAGGGAGGTTGAGTGTCGTTTCATAAAAGAGCAGCTTTGCGAACGGATGGAGTTTTTTCCTTGCTTTGCCCTCTCTGTCGTAGTGCACCAGGGAACGCTAACCCTCATGTGATTTCTGATTTCTATGAAGAGAACCCAGAACGGGACCTGAGAGACCTGGCTTCAAACCTTAACTGCTGCTTCCTACTCATCTGTTCCCACACTCAGTCACTTAACTTACGTAGGCCTCATTTATCTTCTCTCCTGATCTGTGATTCCAAGAGTGAAACTGAGGTGGTTTTCAAACTAGGGATCCATAAGTTTAAAGTATGTGCAAGGGGGAAAAAAACGTTTGTGCAAGATGTCTGTTAGAAATTAATATAAGTGCCATCCATTCTTCATTTCAAATGAGAAGTGAAACAAAATTGATAGTGTTAAGAATAGTACCAATTAGGAATACATGTCAGTTTGAGAGACTCCGTGTTTAATAATGGTCTGCAAAACACATTTTTAGTGCCTCATCCGTCCTAAGATGCACCTTTTTTCACATTTATTTTCACATTTTTAACATCTCTGAAATCAGAATGTGTCTTAAAGTCAGTAGTCTCTTAACACTGACAAAATTTAACTGACGGTTATCCATGTACATACATGAAGCAATGTTGCATGTTACAATCGGTGTCTTAAACAGGAATTCATTCAGTTATGGAGATTTTACTATTTTTGCAGATATACTAAAGAGAAAAGTATTTTTTTATGCTGACTTTTGTGATGTTCAAGCAGGATTTGGAGATGCAGTGTTCCGACTTGAAGAGCTGTTTCCAAGTTACTATGTTAGTAGTACGGCTGCAGACAGAGTCTACCTTAGCAACAGAGTCTGAGTCTGAGCCTTGTGCTTCCAGGATTTGGTCCTCGTTGAGTCTGGCTGGTAATCACATTATTAACACTGTAAACTAGGCTGCTAATTTAATTTTCAAAGAGGCACAGTCTTTTCCAGTGTTTGGAATATTTGTATCCCCTATCTAGGGCTTTTCTTTTCTGAGTTTGAAATATCTGGGAAACCAAAATAACGATTAGAAAGTGGCTTGCTGGCTTAGGGGTCCAGGGATCTCAAAGGGTACCTCATACAAGTGTGGCAAAGCCGGTGTGAGTTCTCCTTTTGATAAATAACTAGCACTGATGACAGTTTTTGTTTACTTCTCTTTACCAAATTTTATGGTGAGTAACAGTTAACTCCTAGCCAATTGCAGTATGTTTGCTTTTTCTTATTTATCTCCTTTTTTCCTAAGTGAAATATGCTATCTTTCTTAACCACTGCCCACTCACCTTCTCTACCTGCTGTGTTATGGGTTTATATTAACAACCTAGCACTTTTGGAGAGGGCTGGCTGTACAGTAAAACGCGTGTTCTTGCTCTTTTTATCTTGTACGTTTAGCTAGAACTTGGAGACCAGCACTGCTCCATTTAGTGCGTTTTCTCAGGTTGGTGGGATTTAGGCAGTCGCTACTGTTTGGCAGTCGGGGGGCTTGCTGGAACGGGGATTTTCTCTGCCGCGTCTACATTTAAGGGGTAGGAGATGCAGCTCGGGGAAAGGAGGAGGATAATAAGAACATGGCAGCCAGTTTGGAAATCCAAACTGGAAAAGTCCACTAGCGTTCCACAAGCCAAAATGTGAATGGCCATGTGAGGTTATAGGCGTTGTTACAGTTTGATGATGTATTTCCATATTGGAAGGATAAGACATGGTACAATTCCAAGAATTAGCATTCATCCTAATAATCGGTTCTTAGGTAAGTGTCTGCTGATGTGTAAGTAACCAGTAATGAAGCTTTCTATTGCTGGAGAGCAGATTTAGCAGTTTACAACAACAGACCTTTATTATCTCACAGCTTCCTGGGTCAGGAATCTGGGCATGACTTCCCTGCATCATCTGCTTGGGATGTCATGGGGCTACAGTCAAGGTGTTGGCTAGAGCTGTGCTGCTTTCTGGAGTGTAGGGTTCTCTTCCAGGGCCACACGTGTGGTGGTTGACCATACACAACAGTTCCTTGCTGTGGTAGGCCGAGGCCCCCTGTATTTTGCTGGCTGTCAGCCGGCACCAGTACCCATTCCTAGAACCAACCACAGTTTTTTTGGGTTTTTGGGTTTTGGGGTTTGTTTTTGCTTTTGTTTTGCCATGCTGCCCTTTGTAGATCCTCTCACAATATGGCATCCTATTTCTTCAAAGCCAGCAGGAGAATCTCTCACCCGAGTCCACTACACTGGAATCTTCTATAAAATAATATAATCACAGGCGTGACATCCCATCACCTTTGCTCTCTGCTCTTGGCTGGAAGCAAGTCATAAATTTACCCCAACTCCAGGGGAGAGGCTTCTACAGAGATGTGACTCATTGTGGAGTCACCTTAGAGTGCGTTTGGTGCACTCTGGTACCCGTAGAACCGAGGTTTAAGAGAACTAAAAAGTTTGAGCTGGGGAACAGACACCCTTGGAAGTCATTGAAAGGGCGATAGGTACCAAACTGAATGAACTAATGTGGGTTGGAAGGATCCCCATTGGCCAGGCTGACAAACCTGATGGGGGAGAATCTTTTTGTTGGTGGGGCACTGGGTGGGCTGACTCCGAGTTAGGCCTTTTTTCCTCTTGACATTTTATTTTATGTCCTTTACCACTGTGCTTTTAGCCTATTCAAATGCAGCTTACCATGAGGGAAATAGATAAATTTCAGCTTAATTATATTTTCATAGTAAAGTCCAACACTTTGAAAGCATTTTTTCAAGTACTCTTTTTTTTAAAGAAAAATTGTCTTCAAAAAGCAGTTTTATTGTATAGAAGTAATGAAGGTATAAAAAAAAGGCTGTGCTGGAAGGTCAGAGAAGTACATAAAAATGTAAGGGACAAGTATAAGTAATTTATACAGTATTTATTTATTTACTTACTTATTTTTAAAATACTCCCTAAGCCCAATGTGGGGCTTGAACTTACGACCCTGAGATCAAGAGTCTTATGCTCTACTGACTGAGCCAGGCCTGTATAAGTAATTTATAATTCTAAACACCTAGAAAAGTTCTTAATTTCTTATCAGTGTAATTTCCTGGGTAAAGAGGTAAAAAAATAATTTCCTCCTACCAGATAAAGTTTCAGAAACAACTTGAATTTTGTGTCCAGGGTACATGGACGCTATAGTTGATGGACGGGTTATTAGTTTGAAGAATTATAATTCATTTTTAAAAAAGTGAAATGTAATTGGGGAAGATTAGTATAGCAACACACACCTGAAATGTGTGTGAGACCTGGATTACATGTAAAACGGTTTTGTTTCAGGCTGAATCGTTGAATGGTCAGGGGAGCTTTCTCATAACCATAACTGTTGGTTTACCATGGCAATGTGTCACTCAGTCGTGCCACTTAAAAGTTATCACTAAAATCGAGCTTAAAGTTCTTGATGGAAGTACATCTATTCTTCTGGGATACCTTGTATCTGTGTTTGTTAAGTGCCAGTTATTCTGTTCATAGTGCTGTGAATGTGTGTGTGTCTGCATATGTGAACTCACAGAGACCATGTGTGTTTGATATTTTCCCATACTCTGGGGGGTGCAGTGGGGTAGAGATGGCAGAGAAGGGAAACCAAAAACCTTGAGGTATGATTCCAAGTTTGTTCGAGATGTTACATTTCTTGGTTTGTTTTTGGTTTTTTGGGAGAGTATGAGGGGGAGAGAAAGGCAGAATAGGGGAGAGAGAGAGAATCTTAAGCAGGCTCCATGCTCAGCACAGAGCCTGATCCCACCACCCTGGGATCATGACCTGTGCCAAAATCGAGTCGGACATTCCATTGGCTGAGCCACCCAGGTGCCCAGAAATGTTCCTTTTTTTTTTTTAGTTGAAATTTTTATTGTGATTCTTATAAATTTCATGCAGTTGTAAGTAGTGGCTCTTTGTTTTTTGTTTTCAAATTTGCTGAGTTGAGGGATCCTTTTCTCAGTCTGCAAGGGTAGAGCACTAGACTAGTGCTTCTCAATGTAATGTGCTTTTGAATTGCTTGTTAAGATACAGATTCTAGCTCAGTAGTATCTGGGGTAGGGGCTGAGAGTCTACATTTCTAACAAACTCACAGGAGATAGGGAGCGATTGGCCTGGAGATCAACCACGTTGGAATGCAAGATTCACTCTTTGGGAATGTCTAATTCTTTACTACTTTGGGGAATTCAGTTTGTTTTGTTTTAGCTTTTCTAAATCTGACCTTAAATCTGTAGGAGTCTATAGTCCCCATGCACCCCCTCCCCTTTCTAGGACTCTGTTCTGAAGTCACTCCAGTCCTCTCTATTTACTGTACTCACTGTTGAATATTTAGTTCTTATGTCTGTCGAATGCCTCCTACTGGGCAGTCTCTGTGGGAGTTGCTGTGCATACACTGGTGAAAAGATCAGGAGGTTCCTCCCTCCGTGGAACTTAGCCTCGAAGGCAGTGCTGTCCGGTAGAATTTCCCATAATGATGGGAACGTTTTATATCTGCACTGCCCAGTAGCCACTGGCCACATTTGGTGAATTGAGCCCTTGAAATAAGACTAATAAGACTTAGTGAATTTTTAATTTAAGTATCTACATTAGCTGGTGGCTGCCATATTGGATAACACAGGTGTAGTGGGAGAACCAAGGTATCAAGTAATCACACAAGATGTTTCCAGGAAGACTTTATTTTCTCTGATATTAGAAATTAACAAGTATTTGGGGTCAGAAAAGGTGTCATAGATACCTTGTAAGTAGCATGATATAAGTTATCATGGCACCTAAGAAAGGCCTGGTTTTAACGGTTCATAGTGTTTAGTGATCTAAAAGAGGTTTGTCTTTCTTTGTGTGTCAAGGAAACAAACCAAGGCTGGTCATGTTGGTTGTCAGGAGGATTTAAGCTCTTCCTGCTTAATGCATTTG